GGTGTGTTTTTCCTAGACAGTCAGCAATAAAAAATGTCATTAATTTCAATGAGCTGTTTCTTTTTCTTTTATTGTTTTCATTCAGCAAGATACAGTTCCTCTGAGGATGGATCAGGATCTTATTTGTGGCATGAGACATTATCCCAGCCATTGACCCTTTGGGCTGTAGCACTATGAGAACATTACTACTTAAGGCAGAGGTGGTTGCATTTGGAGACTTTCTGTGTCCTTCTTCAGAAAAACTACACATTACCAAGGATGCAAGAAAAGCACAAGTGTGTCAGCAAACACTATTGCCTCTTCTTAGCATACCACTCAGCAATGCTGGCCTGGCACAGCAAGTAGCAGATGATCCCCTCCCTCTTTTGCAAGATGGGCACATAATGCATAAGAGCTCGTGGAATTCTACTCTGCTGAGATCATTCTATAGTATCTATATATCCTAAAAGCATTTTATAGACAAGCAGCCTAATAACATACATTTTATTTAAATAAATCAAAGGAATAAATTCACAGCCAGCTATTCTGGCCTTCACTAGAGCTACTGTGACAATGCAGCTACACTATATTCTAAATAATCTAGCTTCAAGATGATCATAAAATATATTAAAGTACATATAGATACACTCAGACAATCCTGATATACTGTTTTTATCCAGTAGCATCCTGAGTAATTTTCCCTCCTTTCCAAAACAAGTGTTAAGTTGTTTACAACACAACTCATAACCAAATGCAAGCAAAGGCTCTTTCTGCAAATTTGCAAAACCATCTATTCCACTAGTTATTACTAACACCAAATTGTGCAGAAGATACGTCAAACAGTTGAAGACGTCAGGTCAGAAAATGCCCTCAAGAGCTGTAATCACAAATATTGGCATAAAAAGACTGCAGTTGACGTTTAAATGCTTGCAATAGGAGATTCAGGTGCACCTTAGAAAACAGTAGCTTTTACATGCTATTTTAGTCAGATATACAACTTCCACAGAAATCACAACTGCAGTTTTGCAAAGGTATGTCATGCATTTGGGCATGAATCCATCATTCTTAATACCTACTTCTTAATCCAGTAATAATCAGTGACAGAATGAATTTGCTAATAACAAAGGTCACCATGTAGCAACAATAATTACAACCAGAGCAAAAGCAAAGAGAAACTGGCTCAGCAGCAACCCACGCCCAACATTTCTCCCCTCCTTTTCCTGGAAGTTAAAAAGCCACTGCTTCATGTGTCCACATGGACTTGTAATGCTGCATTGCTGCTGCAGAAACAGCCACTGTCTGAGCACTGAACTTGAAAGGCATTAGGGCTGAGGCTTGCTGTGGCTGACTCCCCTTGCCCTGCCTGCTGCTTGGCTTTACTTTGTTTAGCTGTGACAGCAATTTCTCATATTGAACAGATGTCTGCAACTAATTTGTTTTGCTTTTCCTATCTTTCTATGGTACAACAACTAGCAGCAGTTATTCCATGTATAAAGAGATAGTTGCATTACTAATATAATGTAGTGTAAAGAAACGCAGGGCTGCTAAAAATAGCAGAGATCTTGAGAAATGGAGATCCAAGACATGATACACAGGAGTACATGCATGGGATCATACTGGGATTGATACTGCAGATTGAAACAGCTATAAGAAATTTCCCAGAGGTCTGTTAAAGAAATGCAGCCTTGGCCCTGCACAGAATTGGTTTTAAGCATAACGAACAGAACATAGTAACTGTATCTTACATACACAAAAGGCACCACATATGGTACTTTGGATGTGGCATGAAGCTGCAGCTCAGTGAAGAGAAAGCAAAGGTACAAAAGTTACCAAACACACAGAAATGACCACAAAGAGATTCTGGGGTAGATAAAAAACATCAACATGAACTTCGTTTTACAATCAGTGAAGGACTTTAAGTATAAGAGCTTCCCTTTCTGCTCTATATTTCTCCTGTCCTTATTTTAAGCGACTTCTCCAGGTCCTCATATTTCCCTAACAAAGGTCTTAATCGAAACTTCGTAAGTACTGCTTCCCTTTTCCAGCTGTGATTTCATTTCACTCCCTTCTCATCCTGCTTTGCTTAGGTGCCAACACTAAATAATGTTTTTAGCCCCCCCCAGCAGTCAGCAAGCAATAAGCATAGGCAATCAGCATAAGCAATTTGAGAATAAATCTTGTTATGAGTATCATCACAGAAAGAGTGAATGAAATCCGAATACATAAATGCATAACTAGACACATGAAGGATTTACAATTTCAATAAAAACATGACAGTGCAAGAAAAAGAAAACTATAAACCAATGTGTTCATGAAAAATAAACTTGCATAGATGAAATTATCTTCTGTCACAAGTTAAACCTTGAAAGCCTAGCACTTTCACACAAGACTCTCAGTTGCTAGAAGGTATCAGTATGAACTTGAAAACTCAAGAATGTGGGGCAAGATAACAGCACCTGACAGTGTGGTTAAACAACGCTGTATCTCACCCACCTGTTTATCCAGAGTTCACATTATGACTGACAGCATGAAAAGCAAACTGACTTACTGGAAGCTGACCGCTTTGTCAGATAAAACACTGATGTTTCCAAAAAGATAAAAAAGAACCAGTGAAGTGCCATTAAGAAATTAAGCAGAACTGCCAGTATTTTTCCCTACAAATCAGAATCCTTTCCAAGAGGATACAGCAGTTTTGAAGCTAACTACAGAGCCTTCCTCTACGTAAAATGATTGTGAGAAAAAAGGCAATATAGCTGTAGAAGTCACAAATGGTATTTTTCTGAGATCTTCCAGAAAATCATTACAAGCTTCCTTATTAGCAAACAACGTAAACATATAAGATACACACAAAATGGAATTTATAAAATAAATACTTCATCCGCTTAGCTGCAGCAAGCATAACAAGAATCGTTACTAATATTGGCAATTCCTAGACTTAAGCAGCTATTATCATACCCTAACAATTCACATAATTAACATGTGCTAAAAATATAATCATACCCTAAAAATCCCCTGTGAGCACAGATGTGCACACACACACACACAAAAAATGCAAGCATCCCCTGCAGAGGCATGAAGAGCTGTCCTTCACAGAACAGACAGAGGAAGCTTGGGTCCCTCTGCTGTTAGCTAGCTAGTTCAGACCTGCACCTTCACCTCAGAACCTGCATCAGCTCTGGAGATGCAAGCCCCTGAAAAAAGTGTCAGGAGCTCACAGAATCGCTTTTATTTATAATTTAAGCTTTATATACTTCTATTTAATAACAAAGTGCATTTTGCCACCACACAATGTTTATGGCTGCACTTTGCTTTTCTGCAAGGCAGAAGAAAACCTTTGACAGATAGATATCCCATTACAAAATAAACTTGGTAAAGCAGTCTTTGCATTTACAAAGAGATTCCAAAGTCTGAACAGTTATCTCAGACTGCTCTCCAGGAAAGCTTTAATTAAAGATAAAAGTGATATGCTCAGTACTTTTGAGGCATCTTTGAAAATACTCACTTCACATCAGTGTTCTGCTGCACTGAAGTAATTATTACTCTAAGAGTACCTAAATTATATACTTCTCACTGCCATTTATTAAAACTATTTCACTCCATCAGCCAGAGATTTATGATTTTTTCTTTGTGAAGTTTTACTGATTACTTAAGCATATATATTACGTTAGAAATCATGGTTACAAAGTACCATAGATCAGCTTTCTATTGGAAATACCAGAGTGACAAAAATCTATATTTTAACAATGAGGATTGTAAGAATACTGAAGTATCCTGAGGTACAATGCAAAAATGTGTATTCTATCACCATCTGTTGAAATGTGGGAGGGGTGGTGATCCTTATCTCTGTGGGAGATATCCTCTGCTGATGTGCCATCTGATAAGATCGGGGGATGATCATCGTTATCTTTTCACAACCCATCCTTCCTCCAGAAGATATCTTCTGTTAATGGGCCATTAAGTCCCATTGTGTGACTGATAAGATTACATCATCCCATTGGGAGATGCCCCAGCCAGGGGCAGGAGCCAAGCCTTTCCTACCTAGATAAAAAACTGGGGTTTGGGCTGCAAAGGCAATCCTTTCCACTGGATCCCAGAGGAAAGTCGGACCTTTTCCACATCATCGCTGGATCTTCGGAGGAAAACTGCACCTTCTACAGGAGCACTGCTTCAACTGAACCACATCTGTCATCCAGGAGGACTGCAGCCACCATTTATACGGACTGCTACCAACACCCTGACTGACAGGATGTCAGGTTGTATTCTGACTCTCTGTCAGTGGTTTTTCTTTTGTATTATTGTATGTATTCTATTTTTTCTTTTTTTTTTTCCTATTACATTGTATTACTGACTTGGAGTCTCTCACTGGTTTTGCGTTGAAACCAATACACCGAAGAAAAAAGGTTGAAAAGTAAAACTTGCAAAAAAAAAAAAAGGATACAGGACTAACATGAGAGGCAATCAGCCACAATATGGAGTGAATGGCAGAGGACCATTCCCATTTACGCCATGTCAGGATCTACAGAGGATGTGACTTTCTAGATAAACATTCTCCTGGGAAGATACCTCAGCACTGGGAAACACAGCTGCACTAGCCACAGGTGCAGCTTGACACAGTCTAAGCAGCAGACCCATTTAAATATTCCATGCCATGATTGCAAACTCTCACCAAAGATAACACAACCCAAACCAAAGTATTTTCTTCTGAAACATTCTACTTGAAACCAATCACTTAGTTTACACACTGATTTTGAAATGTTTGTATTTTGTAAACTCATCAGTATATTTACTGATGAGAACTAACATATTTACAAACTGTATGTAATTTTCTATATAATATTGTAAGAGACCAAAATTGGGTCAAACACCGTTAAGATCACTAGAGGACTTTGCTCATTATGACAAATTGTACCAAGAGGTAACTGCTCATTAGTGACCACCCTTCCCCCCTACTCCCCCACCATGCCACTGCTGGCTATGCATTTGTGAATTCCTGGAAATCTGGACAGTAAGTTAAGTCACATGACAGGAGCTAGAGATAAGATAAAGGTGGTAATATTATCTGATTATCTCAGACTAGGAAGAGGTAAACAAGCTGGAGGAGCACTGATAATGAACACAAAGAATCCATAAGGAAAGCCAGCTCAGCAACTGTGCTGACAATCAGCTCAGTTGGCTGGGTGCAGCTCTAAAGGAAGAGGCCATGGCCCACTGACTCTGAAGAGGAGGAAGACTGAGCATGGGACTAATCAGCATTGGGAGCAAGTGAATCATTCAACCAAGAGAATAGGAGAGCTGTGTACCCAATGAGCACTGATTCCTATCCATGGATTGTTTGCTAAAGTGTACCAATGGGGAGAAGTTTTGAGTAACCCTGGACCCCCACTACTGAGAAGACCAGAAAAGGACCAGTGGGATGATGTCTGGAACCACAGGTGGTGATACCTTTTTACTTCATCTGTATCTCTCATTCTTTTTCACTCCTGTCCTCTCTTTTTCTTTCTCTCTATCTCCCATTTACTGTTAAATGAAATTTATACTATCACCTTCTCATTTGCAGGGTCTCATTTGCAGGACAGTTTGGGTAGAGACATCTCTCAAATAATGAGATCTTAACATTATCTTGGCAAAGTTGGAAGGATAGCGTTCTCTGATCTGAATTGCCAACTTTGACAATAGTACAATTCACTCAAGGGGGGTGTGTGGTTCCTTCCCTGGGAACTCTTGAAAACTTTGCCACAGCTTTCATCTGAGGAAGATTATGTGTTTTCTCACATGTGGGAAATTCTCTTATGTGGGAAATTTTGAAAAAAATGGCTGTCCAGGGTGGCCAGTGCAAAAAAGGTGTTTTGTTATCCTTCCTTGAAAAATTTAGTTGTTAGTTGCAAGAGAAACTTGTTAGTTGCCCTTCTACCCCACAGGTGGGTTGAAGCAAGAAAACTGAGCTATTGGTTCCTCATAATGAGCTATTGGATATTCAAAAATCTGAAGATGAAATAATGGTATCTTTAGAAGATTTGGTGAAAGAATTGTACTTTCAGTTAAATAAGGAAAATGAAAAAAGAATGCAAGTAGAGGCATTGCTAGCTGTCAAGCACGATGCCCAAAAGCTTCAGGCAGAGCCTGTGCAAGAGAAAGAGGGAGAATATTAGGGAAAGAACTGCATTATGTAGAACCTCTAACATTCGCTGAAACACTTGTAACTCGACATTTTTTTGTTCAGTGGAGGAGCTGGGAGACAGTGTCTGTTGTTCTGCTAAAGAGCAAAATGTTAATGTTTGCATTGACATCTGATGACAAGGAAGTAGCTTGTCGATGCTAATTAAAATTGAAACCACAAGTGATTGCCAGGATCAGCAAACAGCTACTGAAATGGTGCCTTACATATTACAAAGATATCAAAGCCTGGCCATAAATAAGACAAGCTTGAAATCTATTAATATTAATGCACTGGGATACTGAAAATCTGGGTATACTTCCAGGCTGGCAGAGGTAAAACCACTGGAGTAAATGAAGCCAGTGTTATCTGCCAAACTGATATGGTTAATTCATGGCTCCTGAGTGAGAAGCTGAAGTCTGCTAATTCAACCCTAAAGGAAATCCAGGTTAAGCCATTAAAGCACTCCCTAATTCACAAGTGGTGACACTTCTCAAATTTTTACAAGCAGTTTCATTCCCTCCAGTCAATGAATTAATTGGAGGAAACCCCTGTGAAAAGATGAGGGAAGCAACAAGAGGAGTGCACCAAACACTAAATGAAACAGAAGTTAAAACTCTAAGGAAAACCGCCAGGAAAGTTTGTGTTGCTTTCTTTTTCAGGGACTGCCAGCATCCTCTGCCCAAACTGAAGATCAAAAGAACCAGCTCAGAGTGAGCCAACCAGTGGATTTACATGAGAAAGCTCACAGAAGTCAGCTAAGAAGATATGATAATGAGTTTTCCTTAAGGGCCTTTAACGTCTGTTGCAGACACAGGACCTTTGAATCAACACAGGATGGATTTTCCATCCTTCTAAAAATCTTCTGTAGTAGGCTGATTTTTCACTTTTCTTTTTATAGGAACCTGCCAACATATGAGACTGAGCTGCATGGAACTTGTAATTGCCACCATAATTGCTTGTATTATCAGCTTATTAATGTTTGTGATTTGTTTGTGTTTTCATTGCAAGTGAACTTGTTGGGAGATCATATATTAGTCAAACCATTTTATGTGTTGTTAGTTTGATTTTCGGCCAAGTTTATTTTATCTTTTACTGGAAAAAAAATGGTGTGGGAAGAGCTTTTACTTTTTTCTCACGAATGTACAATTTGTCTAAATCAAATTTAGCCTGGGAGTTGGCATAAGAATTTACACATATTTGGAATCATACAAATATGTATTAACCAGTTCTGCCTCAGATAGCTTTAGATTTATGATGACTTGACTAAATTTTTCAGATATATTAATGAGTGAGCTGAATAATCCTAACAAAACAAAAGAAAACTTTCCATGGGAAATGGGTGACCATTTCCTTTCTGTACGAGAAGGACAGACAGCCATGGACTGCAAAAGGGAGATGAGTAAAATACACAAAGGCTGTTTACCAGCTTGTAAGCAACTTTACGTGTGACCAGTTTTGGAACCAAATATGTTATAAATCATGAGACATTCCAAATCAAATCAGAGACTTATTCCCAATTGAACATGTCTGATGTACACTGGCTTTCCTATCATGTGTCCTAACAGAGTATCTTAACTTTACCTAATTTATTTTATTTATGGTAATCAATACGGTTATGCTAGTATATTCTGCACCACACATGCTTCTCAGCTGTGCAGTTTACTCTGGCAGCAATTAAAAAGGTATGTGACGAGGGCCATTTGCCCCCTGAAATAAAAATCAAAGAAAATAAAACCCAACCAACAAAAACCCAGCAAACAAAAAAACCCCAAACAAACAAACAACCCAATCAAGCAACCAAAAGTCTGTCCCCTCCTCCAAAAAAAAAATTAAAAAGCAACCTGGGATAATATAATTAAATCTGAAAGTTTATTCTAGAAGTTAATTTTCCATGGTTTATAGAATTACCCAGCTGGACAGGAACATTACCTATAAAATTCTTCCCACTACATGCAGATGGGAAAATAGTATTTGAAAGAGAACACTATTTAAAAAACTTCGAAGTATGCAAGCACACCTTGTCAACCAACGCATTCACACTTACTCCCAGTGCACAACTGTGTAATCGATTGTACTAAGAGACCTGAAAATCTGCTTCAGAGTAGGCTGATTGATGCATCTTAATACATGATATATGTATCTGTTGGGGATACCCATCTCTGTGATTTAAAAATCAAGACCAGCTGTGTAATTCTATGGCTAATCTGGGTCCACATCCAACAGACACAGTATTACAGAATCCATCCACTGCCCATTAAACAACACTCAGATCCTTGGGAATCAATGGGTAGGGGCAGTGGCTAATCAGAATTGAGTTGATAATTGCAATTGGATTTGTATTTTTAATGATTTGCATAGCTATTGTAAGTGGTATGATTACTTGTGTTATTGCTTCTGCTGTTTCTGTCTTTTCTTATAGTGCCCACTATCTCTATCACTCCCACAGACAACCCACAAACTGAGGAAAAGTCCCTGGAACACAATGTTTGAGCCACAGTGCGGTGTGAGGAAAGCCAGCTCAGCAACTGTGCTGACAATCAGCTCAGTTGGCTGGGTGCAGCTCTAAAGGAAGAGGCCATGGCCCATTGACTCTGAAGAGGAGGAAGACTGAGCATGGGACTAATCAGCATTGGGAGCAAGTGAATCATTCAACCAAGAGAATAGGAGAGCTGTGTACCCAATGAGCACTGATTCCTATCCATGGATTGTTTGCTAAAGTGTACCAATGGGGAGAAGTTTTGAGTAACCCTGGACCCCCACTAGTGAGAAGACCAGAAAAGGACCAGTGGGATGATGTCTGGAACCACAGGTGGTGATACCTTTTTACTTCATCTGTATCTCTCACTCTTTTTCACTCCTGTCCTCTCTTTTTCTTTCTCTCTATCTGCCATTTACTGTTAAATGAAATCCATACTATTGCCTTAAGTATATGGTCTCATTTGCACCTTAATTTGGGTAAAGGCATCTCTCTAATAACCGAATCTTAACAAATGTAACTAAAATAATGTAGGAATTGGTTAAGCATGTTTTAACAAGAAAACATGCTATCAAAAATTTGAAAATCTGTACAATGTTTTATTCTTGAAAGTAACATCTAAAAATTAAAGATTATGTCTGAGGAGTTTGTGGATGACATGACAGTGAAAATACTCATATCCACTGTGCTTGTGCATCATCATTTTATTTACCAAAACAATGAGATCTGGAATTTTTAAAGCCGTTTTAGGGATCTGGACAGCTAAGAATTTTTATTAGAAAACAAGCATTCAATATTAAGACATCCAGACTTTCAGCTTTAGAGATGCATTTTGCAAGATTAAGTTTCCAAAATGTCTCAATACTAGTTGAAGTCTTAAAGCAAAACAAAAATCCTTCCCAAAGAAGAAAGAATAGGTGCAAACCATACTGAAAAGACTCATATTTCCCAGAGCCATTACATTTTCAAGCTGGTTCTCACATATAATTGAGAAAGACCCCCTCTAAGTATCTATCTTAAATCTTGAATTCACAATGAGAACCTACCCAAAGAAGGAATAATTGCTCGAGTAGATACTACTTCTCTGATTAATTATTATGTTTGCTCTTGCTTACCACAGTTATTTTGTGCAGGAAATTAATTATAAGAAAATTTCTTTCAAAGGCATAATTATCATTAGCCATTCTACTAAATTTGAGAACAAACCAAAACTGTGTTAGTAATTTTATGACTTGCTTTTCTTTCCAGCCTTCCACCAAAAGTTGCAACTGCCTATGGCCTTTAATTCTGATATGCTTTAAATGGCTTAAAGAAGGAAACTGTTACTCTGCAATTGATAAGAATATGTAACAGTTTGTGTTAGATTTACAGACAAAATATTTACCTACTAAAGGATTAATACTTTAAATAGCAGTAATCAACTCTTTACTCATAGAAAAATATTTGTCTTACTACAAATTATCAACGCATTAAAATCATTCTTAACTGTAAAGTTAACTCAAAATGTCATTAGTTTAAAGATAGAAAATTCTGACATGGTAGGGTTTCTCATTTAGAAGATTTAAATGTTTAGTTTTTCTTCAATCCCACTCATTAAATTTCACTGTGTTTTTTCTCACTTCAATTTATTATCACATCACAAAACAGTAAGGCCAATGAAAACCCATCGTATTTTGATTTTGCATAGAAATAACCTGATATGATGGAATTAGAAAAAAAAAACTACATGCAGGAAGGGGTCATAAATCTTTGCTTGCCTGGTACTTGACTCTAGACAGTTCCACATTAAACCAGTATTAAAAGATTACATTAAAAACAAAAGTCAGAATGATTTCTAAAAACAAGTCAAACTTTACCAAAAAAGTAGCATAATTAGTTTTAAACACTTACTTGCTTCCGTAGACATTGCTCTTGCCTTCTTTGTTTTCCCCTCAGGCTTTTTGACTTGTTTCTTTCTCTCTTACTCAGCTTTTGGTTGAAGGAAATACTTGCAGGCTGCACAAGACCACCAGGTATGATGTACTGTTTGTCTTCTACAGCCCTTGTAGGTGAGGAAAGATTAATCACAAATGGTGACCCATCAGCAATGACACTCCCAGAAGATTGTCCAGTAACTTCAAAATCACACTCATTTTCTGTTTCTTTGTGTAGTAATTTGGTAATGGAAGTAACTTGAAATTGGTTTTGTAGCATGTCAGCACTGGAACTATACAGATCCTGTAAAGAACGACCATCTTTCCAATTGGACTCTAATTGCAAGCTCCCTTGTATGTAAGCAGGTGGATTTTCATTTTGGCCACAATAAAGTGTTCCCATGCTGCAAGTTTCATAAAACATAGGTGACAAAACAAGTCTTTCTCTGATATTTAAATCCAAGCTACGTGATCTTCTGTGAAAAGGACTTACAGTGTATGCATCTTTTATAGGATAGGAAGATGGAAGATTTCTTTTTTCACTTAATGCCTTTAAGGGAAGTTTTGTACTTTCTATCTCATACCTGGGAGCTCTTGCTTCTAGACAAAGTGCTTCTGTTAATCTTCCAGCACTGTTATTACTTCCAGCTGTGTAGGAAAGTCCGTAATTTTTGATTTCTAAAGTTGCAGTTACCACTTCATGGCACGTATCCTTATTAAAACCCGACTGAATTTTGAGAAGCAAATGTTTTTCTGATGATTTTGACAATTTAACAGAGAAAGGTGGCTGATGCTCAGTCCAAGTGTTGCATAAATATCTATTTACTAACTGTCCACAGGAACATTCATTGTTGCAACCAAAGTTAAAGCCCCCCAAGCAGGCCTCACAGAATGGACAGTGCAGTTTTCCAATTGTCCACTGTGCCTATTGACAAAATGAGAAAAAATAAATCGCACAACATGTACACTGAAAATAAATGAGCAAGAAATAATTATTTGAGTTATTTTCTCCTTTAGTAGAAGGATTTTCTTCTTGTTTTTCAAATACAATAAAAGACACTTCACAGCAGAAGCAAATCCACCATAAATAATGTTCTGGTCAAAGCTCTGCTTGATAAGAGTGATAACTAATTCTAAGAAAACTAAAACACACATTGTAAAATGCAGAAGCTCTGAAATATGTTTAAAATTTGTGCACAGATAAAATAATGCTGCAATACTAATGAAAACATTAGATCTTTAAAGCAGAGAAATCAATTTCCCATGTTAATTTGGAATTGGCAAGCACAGCTTCTTAGCTGAGTGTTCTGAGTGCTGATACATTTCTTGCATACTAAGTACAGTGGAAGGAGATTTCTTATGAAAAGAATATAGCTTTTCAAAACTTTGATTACTCCACAAAAGCTTAAAATGGTATTTGTATTTTGGTGTATGTAGCATTACAACATAAACTCTGTGCAGATACCATGACAAATCCTTAATACTTGATATATAAGGAGACAATTATTTTCATTATTCGTAATTCTACGAATTTCTTTTCAACCCTGAAGGCAGTTTTTCAAAAGGAAATATATATCAAAGATCTATAAACACCTACATATTAATACAACTATTAATCCTCCCACATATTTAGTAAACTATTAATATTTTCAGCAATTATATTCATCTATCAGCAGCACAGTTGAGGACTAAAGCTATTCAAGTGTTTTTAGGATCAAAGCCCAGATGAGAAACAACATTATCAACTCTGGTCACACTTTACTCACTTGAGTGTCTAAAGAACCATGAATACAGAAGCTGCCCAATGTTTCTAGTTTAAGCATTGCTTTTAGTTGCAAATGTTCTTCAAGATGATTTGGAAAAATATGTCCACAAATGATGCTTGTCCTATTGAAAGCTATAGAAAATGTCAGAAAAACCAATTTAGCAGTTGCAGAAAAAAACTTCAGCAGCTTGTGTGGAAAAAGTTATTTTTCATACACAATGCTAGAAGTTCTGGAAATACTTATTTGAGAAACTTACTCCTGCCTTGTGGGTTTAAAACCTCAAAATTACACAAAATATCAAAGATGTGTCTTTCATTGCACCTATGAGAATCTATTTAAATCTGGACAGATTTTTAACTTGGAGAAAAGAGAATAATTTACATATAACCAAAAGCTTTCAAATTCTTGAGAATTCTGTAAACATGCACAATCCCTCTCAGTTTATAAGACTGACCAATGTGTACACAGGCCATTCCCAAAGAAGAATTAAGCTTGTTCAGAGATTTAAGTCTCCCACACTCCATTTCCCAGATGCTAGGGGCTAGACACTAAAATTAAGGGAAGAGCACTTTCTAGTGGCTTTATTGGGTCTCTCTGGCATGGAATAGCATCCTGAATCTTCAAATGGAGAGATGGAGAGGTGGAGTGACTCACGAAAATTAAGAAGGGTAGAAGCTTGGAGAAAAGGGACATGAAAAACATAGAATGGAGGAAAAAGGACAACTCTATGTCCCATGTGCACAGAGACTGGGAGATGAGGTGCAATAACAAGGAGCCTGGGACTTATTTAGCATGAGTTTGGCAACGGAGTGTGGAAGCACTGACTCAGTAAAAGAAGTAACAGCCTACTAGTGGAGGAGGTGGTAGGGGGAAAATCAGCAAGATCTGAAAGGGAGCTGAGGGTACAGATTTAGTGATGGACTGCATAAAGAGGGAAAAATGGAAATAGATAGAAAAAGAATCCAAAACAAGTGATAAGTGATAAGTGATGGGTAAAAGAAAATCCAGGTCAATAAAGGTCGCTAGCAGCACTAGCTATATATTTGTAATTGTTGAAGATTATCTATACACTAATATGTACATGAAATCCAAGGAGATTGGTTAAGAACAGGGACAGATGGCAAAAAAGAACCGGCTGGGAAGCAGTGGGTTTTTACAGCCTGCAAATAGACTTTGCACTTATGTAAAATGATTTAGCCTTTGATTCAGGAGTCATACAGGAGAAAATAACACATGATCACAAAATTATTCAGAGCCCAGGAAGATCTGGAGATAAGTCAGAATTGTTTAACACCCCCCACCCCCCTGCATTTATCCATAAAAACAGAGGATCTTGCCAGAGGAGACAAAGTGAATGAGGCAAGAGTTCCAAGGATATTAAATGACACAACGAATACAAGGATGTCAAAGGTGTACACAGAGAACTGCATTGTCTGCCTTTTTCAGCAGAGAGCTGCTCCCCTGCAGCCCCTAAACAAATGTGTCAAGAAGTCTATGGGTTTTGTATTTCCTCGATACCCAATTGGACCCTCCAGATTTTCAAATGCAGAAGCCAAAGGTGCAAAAGAATAATTTAAGAGCTATAAAGGTGAAAAGAATAATATTACTATTGTATTGAATCCAATTATACTGAAATAATTTAAGTGGCAAGAAAAACCCTGTAAAAAAACTGCCTCTTTATTGTTGAAGATTCATGATTAGGTGATATTGTAACATGGGGAAATAACTCATAAGCAGTAATTTTCAAAAACACCTCCAAGATTAGTGTTTCTGAACATAACTATTCTGTTATGTTCACTGAAGTAGAAGAGATCACTAATTTTAAAAAGTTTAATTAATGTTTAACAAAAAAAAACCCATAAAGCAATACAAAGAAGGAAGATGAAGGTTTTTTAAAATTTTTGAATGCTTAGATCTATAGTCATAACAATTTTTTTCTCTTTGTGCATAATTTTCAATATGGGTTTGCTAAGGGTAGAAATTACTTAAAATGCAGTAAAATTTTATGCTGAAGTCCAAGGAGAAAGGAATGCAAATATCATTTAAATCAAAGATTCATAAAAGAATATCTGTGTGGCAAAAAGTACTGCTTCTACTTATTAGTATCTATGCCAAAACATTAACTTCTAGATCTAAAACAACTTAAAGAAAATACCAACCGAAACAGTCAGTACCACAGGAAATTGATGAGATAGTTTGTAATTTCAAACGGGCAGTTAAAACTCAAAAGCAGTGACACTGGCTTGTCATCAGACCTTTGAATTTGCAGGAGGGTATCTACTTACTACTCATATGAGAAATAAGAGCACATTCAGTATAAAAGACTTAAGTATAAAACACATCATATTCCAAAAACTGATCTCTTAACAAATCTCCAGTCCACTTTTATTGGGAAACATTTTCCTTGTACTTCTGCATATATTAAAAACAAAACAAAATTAAACAACCTTTCAAAGAGGAAATTAAATTTCTAAATGGTAAAGACAGAATTTCCTATGAAGAATTCCCTCATTTATAAGGTCTCTGTAACATGCATGGACTTTGCCAGAAAAGCATCCTTGAAATTTGTCCCCCTTAATTATTTTATGTTGAATAGTAAAGACGCAAGAAAAAAAAATCTACCTTTTCAATGACACATTTCACCCACTCTGGAATGGCTTTTAAGCTCACATGCCATACATTGCAAGAATTCTGAGCAGCAGCTGAAGATTGTGATATCTGTTAATAAAACAATTGTATTCATACTCAAAATTTATGTAAGCTTTTTCTTCTTTGAATATAGCCAGAAGGCAGCTCCCCAAAATTAGTAAATATTAACAAATTATAAACTTCAAATATGATATGCTTCTTTAAGCTAAAAATCAGGTAGATACTAATTCTCAGTAATTCTCTATTTCTGAATGTAAGAACATTGGGCAAACTCCACTGTGGAAATGTAGGTGTCTGGAGGTGGTTTTGTTTTGTTTAAAAGAACATAAAGTATGCAGTTGCAGGCCTTCCAAGAATAGCTGGAAATTGATTTTAGAATCATTGTCAGCTGGCATAATTCTTCAGTAAAGACAGAAAAGTATAGTTTACATGAAGACTGTGATCAGCAATGCAAAAATGCAAGTAGAATTAATTTTCTAATGCTTTTTAGAATAACTAACAGAGTAACCAGGTTATCTTAGAAACTTTAGAGTTTTTACTGCAATAATGTGATCAATTGAAGAGAAAAAAAATCTAAAAATCTGTAGCATTTCACTAATTGATACTAAAATAAAAGCAATTACCTAACTAAAGTAGAGTTACAGGGATAGCTAAAATTATAAAGAAACTCTGGTGAGAAAGTCCTAAAATCAGTTGTTAAAATTTATGAATATATAAAGTTGTGGACGCCTATGTTATTAAAGTTATTTGAATAAAAATTTCATTCTGCTGAAAATTAGAAGTGGGGCTATAGATAGAAGATAGAAGATAGAAGATAGAAGCTTTTAAAAATTCTCCAAGTATTGACAGAAAATAGATAGATCCATCTTTCATGTCTATGCTATCTGTGAAGACCACCTGCATTTCAATATGGATATAATTATTCGTGTTTATACCGTGTTTGTAAGTTCAACATTTGTTTTAAAATTTGTTCTAGTTTTTTCATTCATAATTTAGCTATGTCTTTGTCTGAAGGTCTAAAATTCATCTGTGAAAACATGCTGAAAATATTACTCTTCTCATCATAGTACTGTCTTTGCCTCCCAACCTCTTTAGATACAGTGTTAAATTACACTTTTTTATTTGCTACCTACATAACTGGAGAAGAAGCTACTTCAGTCATGTGTGCAATGATGGGTGGATCTCCACTCACAACTGAAAGTTCCACCATGGGGAGCTTGGACTAAGATACCTCTTTCTTTTCACTACATTTTTTCCATGGAAGGAGTTGGAATTTCCACATTGCCCCCTAAAAATCACTTCAAACCACACACAAAAGAATCATCAAATATAAAGTGTGAAAATTATTCCAGAACTTCAAGCTCTTTAAGCAGAGTGATTAAAATGATTAAAATACTACCATGATCTTAAAAACTAACTTTGTTTCTACAGCCGTTGGTTGTGCCCCTCCCTAGTGCAAAGAAGAATGTTGTTACATTAGGAACGCCTTAATAAAAAACCATCACCACCTTTACTTCTATTTGCTTTTTAACTTTGATTCAAGAGGCTGTAAGCCTTTTTGGCACATTTGGAATGACCCCAGCTCTTTATGATTGGTAGCTGCCATTATAAAACAGTATGAAATACTCTGTTATGGTTTTATTCAGTGTAATTATCCTTCTGTTTATTTTAATAAACACAATATAATTTACTGAGCAGGCAATAACCCTGATCAGGGCAGACTAATCTTCTAAACTATATTTGTACACTGTTGCAGACAGATAGAAATATTATAAAAGAAAGGTCTAATAAAATTAGGTTTAGGCTCTGCTACTCTAGCTGAGCTAGCAGTAGCTAGTAAGTTCCCATAAGAAAGAATCAGAGGAATGAAAAGTCAGTTAGCACAACTATCTATTTTGGAAAGGAAAATAAGTGTGCACCTCTATAAACAATAGGTCTGTCCCATGAGAATCTACAAAGGAAAAATGTAAACACCTGAGTCTTAGCAGGTACACACAAAACCAGCTTGTAACCAATGAATTAAGTGGGCAAGAATAGTCCTAGCCAATCAGAGTTGCACACGAGGTCTGTGTCTATGAAAATTGTATAAAATGAGTTATGTGAATAAAGAATTGGCTTTTCCTGCATGAAGAAACTAAGCTCCATCTGCTCATTAATGCAACAGTGCATTGACTATGGCCAATATTTAAAAAATTAAGAATAAAATTTTCTGACACAGGGATATTTTACACACAGCTAACTACCACCGTGGAAATTAGAATCAGTCTTTAAAATACACGTTAGATACAAAGAGTTGTCCATTAAGAGATAGTAAAACAAAAAAAAATTACTTCTACAAAACCATCAAAACCAAACCCCATTTTTCTATTAGAAATGTAATGCTCTATACAGTCAGGTGCCCATGAACACCAGCCTGCATGTTACAGAACATCAAGGTGATCACTGCCTACTTGGCCTCACTAAAATTACTTCCTACACTACTCCCTATAGAACTGTTTCTACTTCACTACTTATATCCACAAGAGATTAATTACGAAGTGAGGCTAAGTCTAATACTTCTTCATTTAAAATAAATGGCACCAGAAGAACTTACAAACACCCTCAGAAGAAGCTATACTTACTTTGGATGGTTTTTTCCCATTACATTTTGCAAGAAAAATAGAATTTGCTATATATTTCCTACATCTCCAGCAATGTAGAACACCATCCTCCTGGTTGTTCATTATATCAACTTGAGATATTGCAGCTCTGTATGTTGACCTGTAAAGACCAGAAAACATACAATTTGGTCACCTGTTGAAACACCACTTTTCTCTTGAGACCTGGAAGTCCATAAAATTCTCACCACTGTAGAGGAGATTAATATTTTACTTACAAACATTCTCTGATCTTTTATAGCATAGCATCTAGATGTTTTAAATAGTAAGGTCAAACAGCTGGTTTTATTTCCAGGTTTCATAAAGAACTAGAAAGCAACAACAACAACCAAAACCAAAATAAAATAAAACTAAACTGACCAATCAACCAAACAAAAAACTTGTCCAATATTTGGACAAAAGATAAAAGAACTCAATTTTTCTAGAATATGTCCATAGGAATAAGTCATTGGTAACCCAAGTAATAAATAAACACACACACATATAATGCCACATAACAATAATGAATGCCAACATAAAACTACAGATGACAGACTTTTTTCTCAACATGCCCCTGCAGGCTTGCTCCCTTATATTATTTTGTGTGGAAGGATGAGCACTACTGGTGCAATCATTTTTCATGGACCTGTATTAACCTCCTTGTGAAAAAGGACCTAAATTAAGACAACCATAAGGACAAGACAAATATTCTGTTTTTCTCCTTTTGCGTCTTGCTGTATCCAGATTGTCTCTCTGGTCTTCTCTAGCTTCTTCCAAAGTCTTCTCTTTTTTTCATGTTTTCTCCAAGGAACTTCCAACTCTTCTTTCAAAGTATTTATGTTTTACCCCCTTGTGCTAGCTACATGAAAAAAAAAAAAAAGAAAATATTTTTCATCTGCATGGCAACTCAAGCCACATACTCGAGTTAGGCCTCCTCAGAGTGCTAAAGTGCACAGTGCTCACTGACAGGCATGCTGGAGTACAAAAGTAAAAATCAGTGTCAAAAGTTTCAGAGTGCAAACGTATGATTTTGCAACTTTTTTAACATTTAAATTTTTTTAGCTTTCATTAACTAAAGAAACTTGGAGGTCTTTACTATAGGCAGTCTGAAGAGCAGGTTGCCTTGTTGAAACATACAAACTTCTGCATTTTCTTCTGATTTAATCAAAGACAATGAAACACACAGAGAGGTTACTTATTAGCTTTTATTTACATCTGAGGTCTTCATTAATTGCATTTTTACTTTTTTACAAAAGTAAAGCTCTGACACATAGTCTGACGAGGACAAGCAGAAATGTGTGTATATACAGCAGAGTCTGAGCTCTAGTGTACATGCAGTTTTTAACAATCAGATCCACTCTCAACTTAAAAACCAAACTAAGGCAAACATTAAATATTTTCCTGCAATATCACAATTAAAATGATTTTTTGTTACAGGTCCATTAACGAACCTTAAGATAACCAAGCAAAAGATCATGCAAGAGGCACTTACATAAAAGCTAAGAATTTATACTAGTAACCTGTCTTATTCCTGACAAAAATGGAATGATTCCAATGCTTTGACTTAGCAGAACTTCAGTTTTTACTTAACTTAAACTTAGTCTTTACTAACCCACATATGTCAGTGCTGCTACTTTCTGTATTAGATATTTCAAAAGTGGAATGTATAAAATAATGAACCTGCCTATGAATGATTTTTTCAAAGTAAATTCATTCTCTGATAATTTTCAGAAGTACTTTGTATCACTTTGCTGTTACAACATTAGGCACCACAGGTTATTTAGAAAATTATTAGCAGTTATAAATTTCTTTATATCACTCAAACCCTTTAAAGCTGCTCTAATTAATTTATTCTTCAAAAATTTATAACACACTTTTATAATTGATTTCATTTTACAAGAGTTCAAGGAGAACCTCAAATCTAAGATCAACCAGGATGGACTGAAAGACATTTTACAAGCAGCTAGCTCAGACATTCTTTTTAGGTACAGCAATATCCTCATCTACCCAAATACCTTCTTGAAATGAGGTGATGTATGCCTTGCATCACTTTTTATGCTGTATTTTTTTATCCAAATGATATATTTAAGTCTCTATATACATTTTGTTCCTCTTAGAGGAGATGTCTTGCTATCTGTTGAACAGCTGCTTCATTTGAAGCTGTTGACTGGAGCAGGGGAAAAACCACTTGGTGATAGACCTCTCAACAATCAGATGAAAGACTGGTGAATAAATGCACTTGCTATACCTAAGACAAGGTTCAAGTCATGCAAACAAAATCTAAGGATCACTGATATTTGAGCTGTTGTAAACATGCTCCTCAGCTATGTAACATTTTCCAAGCTTTACTGCAAAGTAAAAGGTCTTTTATTTATTTATTTAGTTTAGTTAGCTATACCCTTTGAGAGGTTCTTCTTAGTTCAGCATATACCTTTTATTTAAAATTACACTTACATAAGAGAAATGAGTGCATAGTATATGTATAATAACACACATAGCACGGGTTGTATTTTGTATAACCAAGAGTACTGATAGTGAACTACATGGAAAAAATCCAACTCAAGTGGATACTTTTTTTAATATTATGGTACAGCAGGCTGAAGTGTTCTTCTGGCCTAGGACTATTTAAAAGTAAAATTCATGTATGTGTATTAAAAATCTGCATGCATGTGTCTTTTTCAGTTCTTACAAAGCACAGAAGAAACTCTACAAATCCACATTAATACATTGCAGAGGTTTCTACACACATCATGTTTGTCATTTACCACATCAGCATTCACTTTTATTTCATTTTGCACATAATTTCAAATAAATGTATACAAAACTAGGATTTTAAAATTTTCTTTTTTGTTAAATGCAGTTTAACCTTAATGCTTTGGATATATTTTCCCAAGTTCCATTTGTCTTGGTTTGCCTGTCAAACTATTAAAAGGCATCTTGTTCTCCTTCAGCAAAAAGTGCCTACATAAAGACAAAATTTCTTCATTAGGAACTCCAAAAATAGTGTCAGGCCCTAAGTGGGCCTTTTCATCTTAGTACTAGGTCATGTGTGTTGTGGCTGTACTGCTTTAGGTTGCTTTGTGTGAGCTCATGTTTGGCTCCAAAATTGCATTCAGATGTATCAGAATATTAAAAAGCTTATATTCTTACATGGCTTTTGTCTGATGACCTTCAAACTTTTTTCTATTATTAAGTCCCAGTAAAACCAGTAGCAGAGTCCTAAGACTTTCCAAGTTAGTCTCAGTTCCCTTTCTTGGCAATCATTAGTCTAATCTTCTCTTGGAGACCTTTGTTGAAGATTTTACAGCCTTGCCAAAGTATTTCATTGTCTCCTTATCTTTTATTATTAACATTTCCCCTAATACTTAAATTGAATTTTCCTTAATTTCCCTTATTTTTTTCTTGTAATAATCCCTTATTATGTGAATACAGAAAACAAAATTGCTCCTTTGCTTCTCTACAGACCATTTTACAACTTTAAACACTTGGTAGATATTAGATTCCCTTCAATCTTGTCTTTGAACTATGTAAATCTCTTTTTCCTGCGAGATAATGGTTTCTTGATCTCCAACTGTCACTGCTATTTTGTGAACTCCTTCAAATAGGTCAGCTACTCTTGCTGAATGCAAGCTCTGGATGCAGAAATCACTGAAGTTTTACTAGCTGAGGAGACTAGACATTACATAAATTTTCTAGGGAGAAAAAAAATATCTAGGGAGAAAAAAATTTATTATAAAATCCGAAATTTATTATGTACTACATTTTGGTCATTCTGTCTTCAAAAAGATTGCTAAAAAACATGGAGTACAATTCCAATTAAAAATTTTCATATGTTCACAGTGAAGAACTAAACACAATCCCCTAAATTTCTGTTGAAATCTGAATTAGAATTTCAGCTAACTTGCCCTTCATTCACAAATACATAAAAATCAGAAAGTGTAGCAGCACAAGCAGTTATCAATGTCTTTTCTTCAAAAATCACCTGTGACACCTCCAGAATATTGCAGCCATGAAAATTATAATAATAATTAGGTTGCAGCAAGAAACTAGGTCGCCAAAACTTCAGCAATAGTTATTGAGAGTCTCGAAAAAAATTATCAGCTTTGTAGGAGGATGACAGAGAAAAGCTAAATGAGCTGCCCCAGCCAACAAGAGTCCATGCCCCAAGTTCCTGCTCCCAGAAAAGGAGGAACTGATTCTTTACCAGACAGAGAAGCAACCACGGAAGACATCAGTGTGCACTTAAAAACCTGCTGCTAGTTTCTCCAAAGTATTTCTGATTAAAGAGACGCTTTAAAAAACCTACTTCAACAATGTTTCTCAATGAAATTGCACTTAAGATGTCTAGACAAAAGAAAATTTAAAGAACTGTCTGCAGGTTGCCAAAGAAGAGAAGCAGAAAGATGCATCATTTGCTTCTGTGCTTCTCATCCTCGTGTACGAACTCTTCTAGCAGTTCATCCATTGTGTGATCAACTTCCCTATCATGGAAGTTGAAATAGTGATGACTAGTTGATGTCAGAGGGTGGTCAACGTGATACTTTCTTTTGTAGCAAGACTAACCAATGTAATTAACAAGAAGTTTAAAAAAGTTACTACAACAGTTATTTCTTGACTTGCTAAACCTCCTATTGCAATGCATGCTGTTTAAGTCAACAGGTCTTTCAGGCACAGCTCGGATATGAAGTGAGTAAACGGCTTTGACAGGGAATAGCCCAGGCATGTCACTGGAAGACCACGGATCGGCGTGTAATCTCGTTTTTTCAAGAGATGCCAAGACCAGAGCTACCTGTTTCATGCTCTTAAACATACAGGCATTAGCTGTTGCACAAAGTAAAGACCGAAACAAGCAGGCATAGGGTGCCCGTGTCCCAGCACATCGCGGGACACCAGGCTGAGTGAGCACAGTCGCAGCCGCTGCCCAAGGACACCCCCGAGCCCGCCCAGGCCCGCCCGGGAGCACAGGGTGCTGAGGGCCGGCGGCGGCCCCGCCGAGTTAACCCGGGCAGGAAGGCGCGGGGCTACTTCTCAGGCGGGAGCCGGGCTCACCCGGGCACGGAGAGCCCGGCCGCTCCCCCGGCTCCGGGCGGAGTGTCCGCCCCGCCGCGCTCACCCCGCGCCCCCAGCGCCCCCCGGCTCGGGCCCGCCTCGGCCCCACGGGCGGCTGAGGAGCCTCCCGCCGCCCCGGCCCCGCTCAGCTCACCGGGCCGCGCCGTGCGAGGCTGCGAGGAAGAGGCGAC